CTTGATCTAAAAAGGCAAGTAACTGTAGACGAATTATGTGCTTGATCATCAGAAACTATTTCTATGTTTTTGTGTGAGAGAATACCAACTTTTACCCTTGAAATATACCATTATCGCATGGAGAGTCACGCCAGTCTGGTTCAAATACTCTGTTAGTATTTCTTCAGCCGATTTACATGTGTAGTTCTGGGCGAAAGCCATAAGGAGTATTGTTTCGTTTTCGTTCATATTTTGTTTCAATTAACTTATTTCTTCATACTGTTTCATACTGTTTTCTAACCCAAAAGCATGGTAACAGAACTCTTGCATCTGTTTTAACGTACGAGAGTATTTAAAAAAATCATATTACTGAACTCATTTTCTACTATTTTCATAATCATTTTATTTCTTCCTTTTTTCAATTGGAACATGTTTACATTGATCTACTTTTATCAAGTCCAGCAGTTCCTGCTCCAAGGTCTTTTTAACATTTTCATCTTTTACAAACTCTTCTAGATTGACTTGTACCTTCAATCCATATTATTTTAATGTTCGTTCAGATGAAACCATGTTTTGATGTTTAGTGCAAAGATATGAACTACGGGTAATGAACACAGAAAATATTAGATGTCGAGGCCTTAGTCAACAAAATGAGTCAAGTGACAGTTGGATATTTGGATTTTCACTTAAACACTTCTAGGATAAATTTTTTTCATATATTAAGTTAATGTACGTGTTTGCTCTACTCATCTTTCTGATAGGAATTTTACAAGCGTTTGATGTAATTTTTATGGTGGCATATTTCTGTCAACAGTTATCCATATAATTATCGCTCTTTTACTCTTGCGAGACAGACGAGACCGAGATTATAACGTATTTCTCCCACTAACAGAATAGCAGGTACAACAGAAATATATGTTGATGATTCATATTACGTACATTATATATACATACATGCATACATTACAATGAGTTTACAAAATGTGTCCGTGACAATATTTTGTCTCCAAAAGTATAAATAATAAGTATTATATGTAGATACCGATATTGAAATGATCGCATGTTATAGACATAATATGGATGCCTTGTAAAATTCATTTTTTTCCGATAATGGATGGTTGTTAACTTTATTATTACCCGTATCTCCAGTTCAAGTTTTTCTTTATATATTATAATAATAAATTAATAAAGTGTATGAAAACATCGTACTGAACTGAAATGCTTAAATCAATTAATTGAATACGCCGCGACATTAATTAACATTTGCCCGATGATCAAACTTGCCGATGATCCCTGACCACATAGTTAGGCAATGACTGCTTAATATTCAAAAATAAACAATTTAATTTATTCGGTCAATATAATTTGGGTACTGTAATTAAAATGAGAGAAAAACTCCTTCAAATTGACGACGAATCCTATTATTTTGATCTTTTTTCTCGAAACAAGCTGTCCTTTGTATGTGTATATCGGGCACGTCGCCGGTCATTTATCCTATTTTCAGCGTACAAACTCATGTAAATCCATAATATATATTTCATGCATAACCTTTGTCATGCTATGTCATCAACTACAATGAACAAAAAATATGAAATATTATTAAGAAACATTATTATAAATACCATCGATTACAATGTAAGGTTCTAGATGTACATAAATACACGCAGCAACGTTGACACTGTGATCGACAGACCTGTGCAATTATTTATCGTAAATCTAACTATGTGGGTTAATGACATCACGCGCACCTGTTTTTATACGACCAATACACAAACATGGTCGCGCCTTCTGATTTGTAGGTATCGGTGATTTAGAGATTTAAATTTTGTTATCAAGCGTTTAATATCATTATTTGAACGCAGAAAATTTGCAGATGTTTTATTTATTTAGTATTCTTTTACTCATATAAACTTCTTATTCTTACATTGCCTTTCCCTTTATCGCGATACATGGTTAACTGTTGGCACAAATATGCCACCATAAATATTTGTGTATAAACAAAATATGATCACAAGATTTACCTTAATTAATATTATATACATTATAGAATCAGATATATTATGTTATTCATATAAACCAGCAAAGGTAAGAATCGTTCACATTGCAAAAGAGTAATTTCAGTTCCTTTCTCACTTTCACTGTGATCATAAACATTTCCATTGATGTAATTCTTTGTTATTTTAGTGTTTGCATACAATTCATTGTCTACTATGGGTGCCTTGATTCCGGGGTTTTCTTCCCGTTTGCAATGTTCCTTTAGTGCCTTCCTTAGATTCATGTATTGTTGTGGTACTTGTATTCATACGCCTAGGTTTGAATTTTTGAGCAATGAATTTTGGCGTATTGCATCGCGATATTACTACGTGTGAAATTTTACGACAATTTGAGGTTTACAAACTATTTGCCATCCTAATCTTTGTGTTCTATCAAAATTCATACAGGATGTGTCAATACCTTATTTGGTAGTCTTAAAATCTTTTACAATTAAGGGATTCACAGTTTTCGATTTATCTTGGCTGCTCTGATAAATCGTAAATTAATAAGCTCTACTCTCATTGACCTTGCTTCACGGTCTAAAAATGTCATTCGCTAACTGTTCACGTTTTTTACTGTCATACATTTTTCTGTCATTTTTTCACAATGTTTTATAGTCTTTTCAAAGTCTTCTTTTTAATGTATTAGTTCATATTTTTGTCTTGCTTGCATTACATTTATAAATGAGACCGATTTGTCCAGATCCGTTATATTGTTTTCCATTGTTATTACTTTAGTTTCCATGTCTTAGATTTTAATATTTATCCTGTTTAAGTTTTCAGTTAAATCACCTTTTAACTCAATTTTTGGTATTGCCTCTTTCATGATGTTTTTATGGTTTTTACATATTTATTCAATGCTTAAGCCCAACTGGTTGCGAATGACATACCTCCTGGTTGTGGAGCTGGCTGGGGTGTCAGCAACATTTGCATTTTGCTGTTCAAGATTCATTGTTGGTGACGTGTTATAATACACGACTGAACGTACATAGCCATCACTAAGTTGATAAAATTAAGATAAATTAGATGCAATGCGGGCTAAAACTATTTAACATGTTATTCGCAATTTAAAAAAAAATGCTGTTCATATTTTACGACAAAGAAACATAAAGTAACAGACAAAAATTCACTTTAAGCTAAACGTCTTAAGGACCACAATGGGAATAAGAATTATACCGACCCTTTTTTGTGCTATCCTTAACATATAATGTTGATGAACATGGCTTTGGTTTGCATTTATACATGTTGGTCAATAGTTTTTTGTCAGTCGGATTGCAGAGTTCATTTGCTGGTGTTCGGAGATTTAAAAATTAAGACATACAAAAACATAAATTATAACTTATACTCAGTTCCAATGATATCACGGGTTCTATGATATAACGGTATTTACATTTTCTGTGACTGCATGTGAAGCAACACTTGTTGATGCACATGTTGATGATATTTTTCGTAAAACCGAGTCACTAAATCGCAAAGCATCTGCTTTGTGAACAATAGATATAATCCTTGTAAGAAAACTATCTTTATATTTGACTACCATTTCCGTTAATTGTTTCCACACAGTCAAGAGAGATGTAATACAATCCAATATTCTGGAATATTGACTGTTGATATAGCTTAAAATGTTTAGAAAGTTAGCTGTTGGAAGTTTGAATATATTCACAACTTAATTTGAAGATTTTGACACATCTATTCTTTCATACTTGCCATATTTTGTAATTATCGTGATACTGTAGTTACCTCCTTTAAAATCATCCAAATTGACAGACAATGGAAATAGTTTAGAAAATAACATATAAATTGGATATGTTGAAACTTTGACAAATAGTTTTGGAAAAAGTTCACTTTTTAAATAGAAGAAAAATCTCATTCGTGAATGATTTTTATATGCCCGAAAGAATTTCGGGCATATTATGATATACCCCCCGGCGTCCGTCTGTCAATTCGTCCCTCTGTCCGTCCGTCCGTCTGTTAGCAATTTGGTTTCCGGAGCATAACTTAAGTTCCATTTGGCCCTTAATATTCAAACTTCATAGGATGATTTTCCATATTGGGTAAAAGACCCCTATTGAATCTGGGGTCACAAGGTCAAAGGTCAAAGGTCACTATAACCTTAAAACTGAAAACAGTTATGGGAGCATAACTTAAGTTCCATTAGCACACAATAAGCACACTTTATAGGTTGATTGTCCATATTGGGTAGAAGACCCCTATTGATTTTGGGGTCACAAGGTCAAAGTTAAAGTCACTGTTACCTTAAAACTGAAAACAGTTTCCGGAGCATAACTTTAACCTTATGACCCTTAAATTAAAAGGGATCATGTATTGGACATGGCTGTTCATCCTATTAAATTTTACAGCAGTAAGTTGATTAATACTTACGTTATTGAGCGGAATTTGCCCAAAATATAAACTTCATAGGGTCATTGTCAATATAGGGTAGAAGACCCCTATTGATTTTGGGGTCACAAGATCAAATGTCAAGGTCACTATTACCTTAAAACTGAAAACAGTTTCCGCTCAATAACTTAAGTATTAATTAACTTACTGCTGTAAAATTTAATAGGATGAACAGCCATGTCCAATACATGATCCGTATTAATTTTAGGGTCATAAGGTTAAAGGTCAGGGTCACGGGGATCTTTACACTGAAAATTATGGTTTCTGGAGCATAACTTAAGTTCCAATCTATCTATCTATCTATTTATCTATCTATCTATCTATCTATCTATCTATCTATCTATCTATCTATCTATCTATCTATCTATCTATCTATCTATCTATCTATCTATCTATCTATCTATCTATCCATCCATCCATCCATCCATCCATTTAAAAAAAAAAGCTTGTTAAATTCTACTTAACCCTTTTTCATTTGATTGTAATTATATTATATGGTTTGATTGAAATAAAATATTGTTTAAACTAACATTTTAATTTGAATATTGAATTTTTGCGCGTACGAAATAAACATATTCATGTTTTCAGGCCAGGGACCTTTCTCACATGTGTTTGAACAAAAATTCATTCCTGCATTTACTTCTCCTGGTACTGGATGGAAGGTTATTTTTTATTGTTTCTTAATTCTTTTTATTCATAAGAGTAAAGAAATCAATAACATTTTAGATCCTGTCAAAGGCCTTAAACTATTATACTTAAGAAACAGTCCTAGTTTTCACGAAACAGGGTGTATCAGGAAATACTTAAGCTTCATGCTTCTTAATAATGTAAGATACCATCTGCAAGAATGAGTACGGGATTATTCTAGACTTATGCTGAACCACGTGTATCCATTCCATCTATTCAATTTTTGTTCCAAAAATTCCTGTCTGCATTAAAAGGTCATGGTTAAACTCATATGTTTGTGTAAATATAATAAACTTGCATAATTCAATGTAAATCTTAATCAATATGTTAATAATAAAAGAATATGAAATCAGGTGTAACAATGTGTTCTTCTCCAATAGCACGAGATGGCCTCAGTGAAGATGTTTGAGCTTATGATAAATGAAAACAATCGTCAACTGTATAAGGACTTCAAGCAGATGATACCTAGCTTTGAAGACAGAGATATTATATTTATAAAAGAACTTATCGGTGTTCGTAGGGATATAAATGGAGAAGTTTGTATATTTTTTTGTTTCTAGATAAAACTATATTAGAAACCAACGCCGTGTATTCTTGAAGGCTTAGCAGTATTTTATTACATTTTAAAGATGTGATATATAAGACAGACTAAAGGTGGATGAAAATGAGCTTATTGATGTACGCGTCTGTGTAATACATTTTTGTTATGTAAATATTTCACAAAATTAGATAGACTTAGTATTGCTGACTCATAGTTCATATTATGTGTACATGTTTTTGGCAAGCATTGCATATTTGCAAGAGATATTGTGTATTTAAATTATTACGTTATTTTGTGACTTAAATTTCAATGTGAATATGTGTTATCTATTTACACATGTAAATGATAATAAGCTAATGGGCCTACAATTCAACCCAGATATCATGAATTCGAGCCCTACCCTTTAAGATACCAGTTGTACCTATAAGACACAAAATGTCTTCATGATTTACTTTACATAATTAAATATATGTTGATACTATTGTCACAATGGACCGACTATGTTTTCCTTAAATAAGCCGTATACTAGTTTATGCTCTTCGTAAACGAGACACGTACTATGTCAAGTGAACATCGTTTGATAAATTCTTTGTTTCCTTTATTTTAGAATTGGCCGTACGAAGGAAGAAACAAGCTAAAGAGCTTTTTATACGAGGTACTTTCTATTGAACAGTCACTGAAATCTTGTAGGGTGAATTTGTTACATGAAACTATGTTGAATAATGGTTATTTAAAATTGTGGTATTATTAAGGACATAGGTTTAGAATGTATTCAAAATGTCTTTTATCATCTGCCTAAATATTAGTAATTAACACTCCTAAATAATGTTTATCTTAAAAAATATCGGTGCAGCATATACGGTGTTTTTAATTTCGTAAGCGAAATTGTCCTTTTTATTTCATTTTAATGCCAATTTGTTAACTAGGTAGTAGCTAATCACGTGACTGGGATAGACGTTGACAGATGGGACTATATTGCTCGCGATAGCTACATGCTCGGGATGGAAAATGGTTTTGATCACAACAGGTGTATACATCATGCACGGGTTCTTACTGCAGAAGGAAGAAAACAAATCTGCTACAGAGAAAAGGTACAGTTACATGTACCTATGACACATCAATTATATAAATTCGAAAACCAAGTATAATGTGAGATAACTAATCAATGTTACTTTTTATGGCGTCTGGAGAACATATTGCTGATTGTTTGCCTATCTGTTTGACATAAAGCTTTAACAGTAACCATGAAACGGAATTATTTCCACCTTGGTTTACAAGTAAATTTTAATATTAACAAGAGAACAGAATAGAACTGCGACATATGCATGTGTGTATTGACCTTGTAACTAAAGAAGTTGTGACATTTTTTCAATTAACATTTCAGGCAGCTCAGGACATATATGATATGTTTTATGCAAGACTTACTCTATACAGGAGGGCGTATCAACACAAAACGCATAATATTATTGGATTAATGTATGTTTTATGTTTATAGTGTTCTAATACATATAAATTTTGTAATAATGTTCAAGTAAGAAACGATGTTGCACAAAATGCTAGTTAATTTTATTATTTTGGTACACTAGAACTTTGTTCTATTTAAAAATGATTGATAAATGAATTAACACACCAGGTATGAGCATTAATCTAAATAATAAACATAAAGTTACATAAGCATTTATTTTATATCTCAGGGTATGCAATGCTTTGCATGATGCAAATGACCAGATTTCATATGTCGGAGAAAACGGGTAATGTGTTTTTGTTTCTGTCGTCTTGTAACATGATGTTGATTGAATATTATCTTAAATAGCAGTATTGTTTTCAAATGAAAATACTCGTATATTTTTATTGCTTTTGTAAACTATTACAAAACTAATGGTCGTCTTCGTTACATTAAACCTGTATTAACTTATGTCATACTTTTGTCACAACGCTCAACGGACTTTCTGATTTCTTTTGTATACAATTTCCTCCGTCTTATGTGATGAAATGGTTATGTTTGATTGTATTAAGTACCATATATTCTGACTAAATTCAAATACAAATGATATGTAATACATCTACACATTTTGCAATAATTTTATTCTTATGCAAAAAATCAGTCTGTCCTTTAAACTCTGATTAAAATAACATGAATTTAAAGGACAAGGGTGAAAATGTCTGACACAATCTACGATATGAAGGCTTATACACACTTAACTGATGACGTCATTCAAAAGATACAGCGTTCTTCCAAAAAGGGTTTAGAGAAATCAAAAGCTACAGTAGAAAGAATAGTGCGCAGAGATTTCTACAAATGCATATGCCAGACACAAGTCAAAGTCACGGAGGTAAAATAATCTTACTTCCGTTTCTTTCTTTTTTTACTGTTACCCGTATATCTTTTATTAGCCATACAAATATATCTATGATTGATGACCGTCAGACAAGGATACTAGTACCCATATTGCATATTTGTTGTAATCCGGATTTTACTTGGAGCTGCTGGAAATATTTCATTTATCTTATAACTTCACTTGATATGTAAAAATACATTGCTGTATGGGCGTTTGTTACTCTTACATATGCATTTTTCTTGATCGGATGAATCATGGTGTATATGTCCTTTCTCCATTCTCAACATTACAATGTCAACTTACAGAGCAAAACAAACAAGCATTTATTACTTTCTCACATAAAAGAATATTACACTTGGCCTCGGGTATGGGTTAAATGCATATATGTTAAAAAATAGTTAAAGCAAAGAATTTTATAGATAAGATATAAAAAATATTGAAGGTTATAAATGTGTGATTTGTTAAAAGTTCACATGATTATTGAACATTTGAAAGAATAAATTCTACAAACTTTCTTAATAATCCTCTCGTATTTCTTGTTTGTTTTGTACTGATTTACCTATATTGATAAATGTATTTTAATACACTACTGCATTTTTCTCACTTAATGTATGTGGCTGTCTTGAGTTAAGAATGAGGCAATATATGTACATTAAAAGAATGAAGTCTTGATCAGAAACATATATAAACAAAACATATAATTATTACTTGTTATATATATCTATTGTTAGCATGTATTATATATCGTTTTGTTACGTCAGAAATGCCATGTTTTTGCAGCAGAAAGATAAATTTGAGAAGGCATCTGTTCAAGAAAACCTGTTTAACAGGATTAATCAGAAAAGAAATGATGAGAGAGATTTGTCAGAAATCCTTGAAATAGACGTATGTTAATACTTTAAGTCATTATGTAACTTAACTTTCGATATGACGTTTAAACATAAAACATTTCCTGAAACATGAAAATTAATTTTATATACAGAAATAAATACATGCATCATTTTTCAAACGCTTTATATACATATTTTATGCACAACTTAAACACTGTGCATTTTTAAACTACATTTTGTAAGCACTATCTACATGTTTATTAATAAATGTTCTAATTCCGCGAACACTATTTTTATTGATTACAGTAGTAAACCGCTAACACTATGATTCTAAGAACTCTTTATTGAATACTGTCATAATTCCGCAAACACTAAGATATATGTTATATGTAATGACACTATGATTCTTATTCCGCTAACACAATAATTGTAAGATCTCTTGATTGATAAGTGTAATTATTTCGTTAACACTATTATTAAAAGGTTTAAATTTATTTTAATTCCGCTAGGATTCAAAGATTCATATTTTGATTTCTGTAATTCTCCGCTAGCACTATACTTTTTAGATTTCTTTATTGATATCTGCATAACAGCAAATTTTAATGACTGTAATAATTCCCGTAACAATGCGCGTACGATTCAAAGACCCATATTGTGTAGCTGTAATAACACCGGTAACACTCACTATGATTCAAAGGTTGTTAACCTGGATTACGGAAGCAAGGACAAAGATCCAGTTACAAATGTTTGGTTTTTCAAAAAAGGCCAAGAAGATACACCTATACGTATTGGTAAAGAACAGGTAATCAGTACAATTTATACGCACACCATGCCATTTTTATATGCTCTTTTTTTTTATTACTTCTATCAGTCATCCTATTTTCGTGTTAAATTTTAAGCATTAGAATGTGTGTAAGTTTCAGACACGAATATTGTGTATACTAGATGAAATAATTATAGTAATATTGTTTTGATCAACAAATTGTACTCCTATCTTTGAAATCGTCTTAGGTTTCATTTGTCTTACCGGACACGTTTGCCGAACAATATGTTCGAGTGTACTGTAGTGAAACAGACCAAGAATTATTCGATGTAATTGAAGAGTCCTTCGAAGAATGGTGTAAGGAAAATAAAATTCCACAGCCAAAGGTAAGAGAATGTTGCTGTTTTTTGTTGTTGCTGATGTTTTGTTGTTGTTGTTGTTGTTTTACTATCTTTAAGGTTTTTTTTTTTAAATCCTATATTAATATATATAAATGACGTGAATAAATGTGTTCGTCTTGGTTGTTTTCATATGGCATCGGTATTTATTAAAATAAAAAGTCACTACGGCAATATTTTCATTGATTTATTGGGGGTCAAAAGATTAAGATAAACTTTTATAATATACTTTTAAATGAAATATTCAGAATTATAGTTGAAATTAAATGCATTTTCATTTTCCATATTTTCATTGTAAAATCTATTTTTACTGTAGTGAACCATAGAGAAAACTTTATAAAATAAACAGAAAATTCAAGTCTTTTCTGTAAAAAGAGGATTTATTTTCATCTTGTGGCATGGATATTATCATATTTGACTCGTGACTTCCGACACTCATTAAATATTTATTTGAAATAAATCCTGTATCTATAGAAAAAATCTTAAATATCTTTTATTCATATTTTTCTTTGTATATTTATTATCTTTTATTTCAAGGGTGCCAAGCTCGTCGGGACCACCTTGAGCAATAGAGGCTCTTTGAAAAGAAAATTAAATGTGTCAGCACCCTAATTCTACATACACATGTAGTAAAGTAAGAAGATGAAATTTTGGAAGAAGCAATGGAATTGAGAGCAGAAAATTTTTGAAAATTTTATTTGTATTTTATTTTCACAGTATTTTATTTTTTCCATTATCCATGTTGTATCTTATGTTTTGTGTAATGGAATTAATGTGTACACAGATGCTTATTGTCTAACAAAGATTGAGTTGAGTTGAATTGAGGTAAATTATAACCCTATGTTAATACTCTACTGTTTTGTTAACAGCAGGAAAAAGGAAATTACATAATAATTTTACATAAGTTTAGTTTATATTTTTCATGTCATTCTTGATGAAACTAAAATAGAATATAGCTGGATCAAATGTCAGTAACCACGAATTTGCCCAATAGCAAAAACGTATCAAAATGTTAAAAATCTGTTTTAAACCAAATGGCAAGAACGATTAGAAGAATGCTATAAAGAGCAGAATGAAAAAAATATGAACTTTCTCAAAAGTTCATATGTAAACCTTATTTGAATGTTATTAAAGAACATCATTTACAAAGTTTAAAATTAGTGCTCATTTATTAGAAAAGAAACGTGAAGGTATCTAAATATACGTGTTGGTGAATGAATTTGCAAATGCTGCTCATGTAAGAGGATATTGAAATTGAAGAATATTTAATGTTGAGATATCATCTTTATGATTCTGCAAGAACTCTGTTAATATCTAATACTAGTATATCATAAAATGTAAAAAGACTTTGAAGCAAGGAAAAAAGTCGGAGCAGTTTTTTATGATGTGCAGCAAGAATAATGAAACTATTACTACATTTTTTAAGTGTTTTAATTAAGACACACATTTCATAACAATAACTATGTACTCATTTTTTATTATTTGTATATAAATATTACATAGATCATTTTTGATCAGCAAGAAGTATAATTTTGTGAGGCATATAATTCTTCTATCTATCACAATTATTTTGCCAATGTTAATAGGCTGTAACATATTGAACAATAGAATGGAATCGTATTTACAATGTAATATATTATATTGCAACTGGTGAATTTATATCTGAATATTTCTTTCATGTTAGGTTTAAAGGCCTATTATGCCTCAGAAATATTATTCTGGAATTTTCTTTTTATTTCTGTTTTGATATAAATGTATATATATACATTCTCATTTGCTATATTCATGAACTATCTTTTGTATCTTTAGTTTTGTTTGTTCTGTTTGCAATTGGTATAATTATAGTGAATAAGTTTTTTGTACTTCTTCTTTGTTTACATTTTGCTACATTTAAGACACATAAAGTCATGTAACGCAACTTTTTAAGTAGTAAAAATGCACTTAATTCATTACCTAAACATTATTGAACACATATATTTGACATTTCTAAAAAATATATGGATATCTGAGGCAGAATGTGTCTCATATTTATTATACTATACAATACGACTTAGTGATTCGCCTGTTCATATTATGAACAAGTGGAATGGAAAACTGTAAAGTTGTATACAGTTTAAGTGTAAATGTATTATTAACTCTATTTTACTGAAAATTTTGGCCACGAAATATCGCCCTTTTTTCTTTTTTAAAACCTTTTATACGCCAAAAGTAAAAAAATTTTGGGGCGTGTTTTGGGTTTATGCAACTCGATGCCCACCCAAGGTTTTGGTTTTTGTTAAATTTTCCCGGGGTCTCTTTTTTGGGAAAAAAAATTGAACCTGTTTTGACAGAAATGAAAACCATAATGAAACGATAGCAAAGTTTTACCCCCAAATTTCAAATAAATTTTCCGTGTTCGCTTTTATTTTTTTTAAGACTTTTTAAAAGGAAGATAAAATTTTGGGCTGAAATATTAACTTTTCTGAAAAAAATTTAGAGGCGAAGGTTTGGGCTTTTCGGATAAGGTCCGGGTAAACACTGACTTTTTTAAAATCCCCTTAAAAAATTTTTATATAACAAGGGAAATTACAGCGTTTGTACAATTTTATGAATAAGAAAACCTCTCTAAAATATTAGTATTTTACCCCCCCTTTTTTTTTCCCAAAAATAATACTTCATTTTTTTTCATTTAACTTTTTTTTTAAAACATTTTCTGTTAAGAAAAATTTGTTATTGAGGAGACATTAAGTTTTTTAAAAATAAAAAAAGTTATTTTTTTAAAAACTGATGAAACCATTGAATATGAAAATTATGCAAAAACTGAATTAAACCTTTTTGAAAAAAAGTTAAATTAAAAAAGGAACCAGCTTTTAAAGAAAAATTTTCAAAACTTTGAATTGAAGGGAGAAACCTGCAGATATAATTTGGTGGCTCCCTTTTTTATGATTTTTGGGGCTATTTTGGGCAGTCCATTTTTAAAAAATTGAATAAAGCTTGGGTTTTTTGGAAATGGATCATTGCTTTGGGGGATTTCCCCGCAAATGTAAATCGGGGGCCAATGGGGGGCCCTTTCCCTTTGGGGTTTCAAAAAAGGCACCTGAAAACTTATAAACATGTGTGTCTTTTTGTGTAAAACCACAATGTCTATATCTTAGTTCTTTAGCATGTATCATTATCGAGAAGAACACTACATTAGTGACAAAACTCATTACCCTGGTGTTAAAAATGGCTCTGTCCAGGGCAGGAAGCGTCACCTAATTAACATGTACACATATATACTAGTATATAGTATGCATGTATTGATAGTCTTTTCCTCAAAACCTACAATGTACAGAGCATAAAGGTTTAGCGTATAGCATCACTTTGTTGATTTTATGAAAGTAGAATTATCACTTCTGTACTTATCATGAAAATGACATGTATCAATATAGATCCCAACAAAAGGGAAAGGAAATAGCCATAAATCTCTCCGCCGAAGGGGTCACTTTGGTTATTGAGATAAAGCATGTTCGGACAAGTGTAATGAATCTGAATATGTCTCTTCTGTAATTTAAACATTATTTGTGATTCTTTAAAATGGTACAAATTTGCATTCAAACGTATATTGCCCCGCCTATGCGGCGCTCTTGTTGATTCTTGCGTGTAGTGCATACCAATGTGTAAACAGATCTTGTTTTATGTTTGTGTATTTATATTTTTCGTGTACACTTTTCTTAATGGGACGCTACTAGGGTGTTCAAATATCCGATTTGATGTAGGTCTAGACCAATAACTTGTATGCAACATTCAACCTTTTTCATTTTTGGTCATTTTGTATAATAAAAATAATTATTCTGGAAAAAAATGAATTATCTGAAATCATGCACACAAGTTATTAGTCTAAAACTACATAAAATGGTACAAATGTCTCAGAAAAAAAACATATTTCCAGTTCATTCTTTTTTTTTCTTTTTTTTTAAACTTCAGTGGCGTCCCTATTAAAGTAGCAAGCAAAACAAATAGTGTGCGTAGATGTTTTAAGTGTTTAATACCTTTGTCATTAGAGCAGAAATTATTGTAATTCCATAACTAAATTATAACTATTTTAAACACTGCCATAGTTTTAAGAGTCTGCACACAATGTTGGATGAACAGCACTTTGACGTGTTTAATAATGTTTCAATACATTTCTTACTAAATGCGTGTGTTGTGTATACATATAACCAGTGACAAATAAAGTATTCTTTGCCGTGCATAAGTTGTTTTCCTTTCCCTTTATTTAATCTCGATCACCATCCCATTCTTAGTCTGTTTTAATTTCAATGCAAGAATCAAGTAAATCAATCAATTAAAGAAAACATTTATTTTAATTTAATCTAAGCCTTTAGACTTTAAAATGTAAACAATTTGCATATAAATGTTAATAGTTGACTCGCTTTAATTCTGTTGTGGTCTTAACCAGGGTTTTACTGTATTGATTTTATAGTGTAGTAATACAATATTAATTTTGTGCACATTATTATGTAAACAATTTGCGGAAGTAGCCAAGAACATTTTTCCCTTTCAAGTGTAGTTTTTATCTGTCTAAACAGTTAAGTTTGTCTAATATCTTGCAACGTACTTGTATTGCAGTATGTCCCCAGTTATTTATGCGAATTTTAAGCAGGACTCAGACCTGCAATTATGACTTGAAAATGCATTTCCTTAACTCCTCAATATTAATTTACATGTTCTAGAGAGTTCGTTAAAAAACAAAAATTTCGCTTTTATTCAAATTTTCGCTGTGGATTTCAAAGGCCATCAATATGAAAAAGACATGCTACGACCGAAAACAAAATTATTTTGAATCAAGTTTTAAGAAATGTATATTTCAATGCTGTCGATGTGTATCTGTGGTAAAACCAGACACTGTCTGACACCAGTGTTAAGCATGTTCTTTGCAAAAAGTATGTATAATGATGAAGTATTTCTTTCTTTCTGTTATTCTTAATTCTGAAAAGTTTAAATACTTTATTATCCAGTATTCCCCAGTTATCTGGTTGAAAGCATAAAACACAATTTACCCTGTGGGTAAACGCTGTGAGAGATGGGTTTTCCGAACTCTGATCATGTACAGCAAGTAAACATACCATTACTGGCGAAATTTGAGAGTAGTATCATAAACAATATTTATTAAAAAACTAATTGTTGCGTTAAAGTGTATATTATCGGTACTTATATTTGAATTTTTTAATGAAGAAGTCTTCTGTGTCTTTATATAGACCGGGAAATTAAAAATTTAAAAGTAAAAAAAAAGAAATAAAGATACACAAGATCAAAAGCAACTGAAAAAAAGACTTTATGATGTTTGGGCAGATGTTTGTCAAAGTTGTTTGATACTGTTTGGGGACACCTTTGGGGCTCTTGTTTTTTTTCTTTGGGCAGGGAAGGGATCTTCCCCTTTTTTCCCCAAATTTTTATTTAAATTTTATTTTTATCCCCCCCCCCCGGTTTTCAAAGTCCCCCTTTCCCCGTTTCCTTTTTAAAATTTTTGGGCCCAAAATTTTAATCATTTTTTTTTTTTCCCTTTTGTTCTTTTTAAATTTTTTAATTTTTTATTTTAGGGGAGTGGTTTTCCCGCCCCTAAATCTGGCCCTTAAAGCCCTTCCCTTTTTTTGTTTGGGGGCAAACCTGGGGGCCCCTTTCCACTGACCCTTGTTATTGGGTCGGGTGGGGGCTGTGTTCATTGAACGCCGCCTTTCCTTGATGATCTTATTTATCATATTTTGTATTTATTCGTCTCCAGGAGAAGAAACACATTCAGTTGATACATCACATCTAAAACAATCCAACAATATTCATGCACATACCGCATAAAAACCTTTTTCTTATTTCATAAAATATTGCAAATGAGTCCAATATAATCAGTATGGTACTCAACAATGTTTGATAAACTCGTTGTTTCAAACACCCAATTTTTAAAATACAAGAATAATAAGAAACGTAGACACGAAATCTAACCAAATCAACGGCACGCAAATAGGCGGGCAAGGCGAATGATAGGACAAGTATTTACTAAAAGGCAACTTTTTAGCGTAGAAATTAGTACAGAAAGGAGGATGTAGGAAAATGAGGAAGAGATGGGGGTGGCGAAAATGGAAGGGGAGAAAACACCTACCAAAAGATGAAAATAGATTGGTACACCAATAAAAGAACAAATAAGGTTGACAAGACACGAAGAAGGTGGGACACTGCCAACGATCAATAGCTGAAACACTACTGAGGGGTTTAAACATGTAAATTGTGCACCAAACGTTACTCTTAGTCCAACAGTTTCTTTGATACGGGACGGTGTACATAAAATTATTTCCCACCAAGTAACTTATAATGAGTTTCACACATAAAATCTAGTGAAAATACGTAAAAAACATTATCACCATAACAAAAGTAATCCTGTCTTTATGAAAGGCAGAGAAACAAGAAAATCACCTGCAAGAGCCTGGCGAAACAATACAGAAGACAAAAATAAAGACAGTTCAGTCCTAGTGGGTTAAATAAACTGATCATCATAAATCTCCAATTTGTCAGATAAAATCAAAAGAGGAAGCTTAATGTGTTGAATACTAAGCATACAGTTTTTGGCATAACCGTTTAAAAAAAACTGTACAAAAATAGAATTATTTGACTTGAAAAATGAGTTGGAGACTAGATAGTGAAAAGTAATAATCGATATGGTTTTTGGACTAGGAAAAATGAAAACGAAGACAGATGAAGAACATTTTGTATATGATTTGGATTTTTTGTGTATAAATGTTCAATGCGCATGCACGAGAATAAGACAAAAGAACCTTTATAAAGGAAATTAAAACATCGATCGATTATTTTTCAACTGTGAAAACGTACTCTTGTAGTTCCACAACGTGAAACACGTTTTGTTAAACTCTATTTTCTGTATTCGAGTTTTACATTTCATATCTATATTTCACGTACAGATATGAATATCTATAAGTGTGCAAACTTGCATATGTATTGTATGCAATGGAAGCTACGAACTTGTAAATTTATTGTTGTTTGCCATGTTAGGTAATTTGTTACGATCTTTATGTAAATTTGTTATAAAAAGGTGGGAACGTTCAATTAAAAGGCATATTATTTACTATGCACGGATAAATTAATAAATGGAAGGCATACAAGTCGGCA